TATAATCTAATGTAATCTTATGTAATGTAATCTATAGGTTAGATATTAAGACAAATCTTCGGCCATATGGATTCCCAAATATGTCCGTTTCTATTAGCAGTACCGGAACTTGAATGAGAGCAGTCATAACACATATCCTAAATCTCTATCTATAAAAGGCAGGATGTGTGTGTGTGTGTGTGTGTGTGTGTGTGTGTGCGTGTGTGTGCGTGTGTGTGTGTGTGTAACGAATCCACGGCCGCAATTTTCGACGGATTTGCACCAAAATTTACATGGACATGCTCCAAGTTAGCGGGAAGGCCAAGACCGACTTTGCATTTCCCAACTCCCATCGATAGTAGAAATAATCGATTTTTTCATGCTTCTACGGCAGTTTTCATGTAGTTTGATGCCATTTTCTACTGGCCAGAGTGAGAGCCTATAGCTGGCTGCCACGAATAGGCAGGAAGATTCTATTGGCCAGCGTGAGAGCCAACCGCTGACTGACACGAATGTTAACTGGCATGCTAACATGCAAAAAAAATCGATAGCTACATTCGTCACAAGTGGGAAAAATTTAAATCTGCATGGCACTTTACTCCAATTGACTCATTCGCTTGGTTAAACTCGACGTTGATTCTGATTCCGCAGAACTGGGTTGGGTGTGAAAAAGTATTTGTTGTTAACATTCTTTTTTCATTCGGTTTTTCCAGTTATGAGTCCTTTTTTTTAAAGCTGATCGTTTTGTGCTCATTTTGTTTAGTTCTTTTTTCGTAACAGATTTAATGTTTAGTATAGAGCGTAGAAAAAAAATCGCAGTGTGAGATAGGCAAGAAGTAAGGCATGTAGCAACATCAGCACGGCAAAGGGCACTCCTTTAAAGGCAAGGAAGGGCAAAAATATTTTAAGTCAAGTGATAGCGATTGCTGTATGAGTCGTACGATTTTTGAATCGAGCACGGGCAACGCCGGGTCATGCTGCTAGTCTATCATAAAATCCAGAATATAGAATTAATAAACTCTAAGCACATGAACTATATCTGTACATGGATCAGTTATAACACGTTTAGTATAGAAATTAAAAAAATTCAGACAAAAGTGTTAACCTGAGTACACGTCATGTTCATTTTCAGATCTAGAACTTCATATGGATATCATGCATGACACTCAGTCTGGTCTAAAGCAGGGGTTTTCAACCAAGGAAGGGATTCATTACTTAGTAGAAGTGACATTTTGGAATTCCAACACAGTGAGCTACAGGACGACGTGCTGATTGAAGATCAGGATACTTAAGGCGGCTTTGGTTCTTTCTATTGATCCGAGTTTCATCAATAGCACAGAAGTAGCAGTCAGTACTTCAGGGCTTTTTAGGGCAGTGGAATTTTGTCTATTCAATTCATATACCCTAGAATTCTATTGACATTTTGTTTGTTGAAGTATGCTTCAATTTATTTATGTAATAATTAGTTATGAACTAAAACAAATTAATGTACATGTATTCAAGTTTAAAAGCCCATCCAGATTAAACATGGCGCCCGGTCAGATTTATTGCATTAAGTAATTATGTTTGCATTTATCAGGTTAATATAAAATTTACCTGTAACTTCTTTAATACAATGTTAGGAAAAAATCTAACAAGCGTTCTTGGAGATCATTGTTATTTACTGCTTATCGTTAATTGTCTCATGTGGTTTGGTGCAGGACAACTCAACACTGCCAACTGAACACCACCGATTATTGCTATTAAAGTTATCAAGCTCATCGTTATAAAATTTTTAGAACGTTCATAGTTGCTTGTTAGTAAGACTGTAAGGAAAACACTGAGGGGTTTAATCACATGAGAACATGAATTGAGAATACAGTAGTTCAGTACGATTCTATAATGCTCAAAGTTGCTGGTTAGTAAGGCTATAAAGAAAACACTGTAAACAAAAGGTTGAATGAAGAAGGCTTTAATCACATGGATTGCGTAGCGATTTTCCAAGCGTAGCATAGATGTGGCACAAGGCCGAAAGTATAAATTTCATCCAGTGAGGATCGAACTCACTACTCACTCATAATTGTGTTAACGAGACAAGCTTGCTTAACCATTACACCGCCTCGGGGTACCAGAATATGGATTGAGTATAGAGTAGTTCAGGGCGACAAATGTACGACTGAAAACAGCTACGCCTTTGCGACCCACTTTTGGCCTCTGTTCCATGCGCAGGCGTTTTTCTCATCTAAGTGTAAAGAAAGTTAGTCTTTCTACACAACACTCGTTTTAAAAAATAATGTGTGTAAATGTATATGTACTAATATGGAAAAGAAATGACGATTTTCAATAATATATATATATATATATATATATATATATATATATATATATATATATATATATATATATATTTATTTGGAAAGGAACCTTTTGAGTTTGGCAACCTTGGAAAAGCGTGTATGATATCACTGAGCAACAGAAAACATTTTTTTAAGTTGTCTATATTTTTCCAAATGATTTAGGACAATTTTTCACCGCTGAATCCAAAAATGACATCGTTTCTCTCAATCAAGTCATGTTTTTTCTGCTATGTTGAGTTTTTAAAAATCCAATCTTATGACTAAATCGATTACATTTTTGTGACATTATCGATTGAATTTTGTTAATATTTCTCATAAAAATAAGTTCTTAAGAGAAAAAGATGTTTTCTAACACAATTTATTAATTAAATATTACAAACATCGATTAAAATAAATTTAATAGTATAGATTGATAAATGTAAGTACATGTAAATTGCATGTTAAGTCATCATTGTTCAAAATTCAGGGCATGAAATTCCATTTCTTCAAACCCTTAGAATGATCAGCGGCGTAGGTGTCTCTCTTCAAAGTCCAGCATTAATTAGCCGTCATGACTGCATCCCAGCGTCCCTGATTACCGGATCTCCATCTCTTTCAGGTCCTGATGGAATCTCTTCCCCTGTTCGTATTGGAATTCCATCGCAGTGAGCTACAGGATGACGTGCTGATTGAAGATCAGGATACTTGAGGCGGCTTTGGTTCTTTCTATTGATCCGAGTTTCATGATTAGCACAGAAGTAGCAGCCAGTGCTATGGCTGCCCCTATACCATAGGAATTCCAAATTTCAGACAACTCTTCTTACCCTTGGTCCACTAATGCAGATACTTAGTACATGTCTTACATACAATGTGTGGCACCCAAATTTGATGCTGGTCACCAAGCTGCTGAGTCGTTTCTTGATAGTGTGTGTGCGTGTGTGTGGAAATGGGTGCGGTCTTGAATATCAGCAGTTAAAGTGACATAGCCCTTAGTGAAATCTGAGAGACTCGGTTGTTGAGGTCAAACATCGTGATTTTTATACTGTTATTCCTGGTAAATTGGCTCCTTAATTATGTAACTAGTTATTCCTAAGGGATCCTAAAAGGAATGTAGATATTTTAATGGACAAGACAACAGAAACAAAAAGAATGTAGCCATAGCTGGAAAAATTGAGTTCATTGAGCAAAACCAAAATGATTTTTGAATTCGGCACATCAAAATTGTCCTAGATCAGCTAAAAAATATTTAGGCAATAAATTTGGTGTTGACCAATGTATTCTGATTTAAAGTGAAAAGTCTGCATTGAGTAAACGTTGAGAACCGCTGGTCTAAACTACCAACTATATTCAACTTTTGTCTATATTTCTGAGATGAGGTACACTATTTACATTATTTCTGAGATGAGGTACACTATTTACATTATTCGGACTATTGTCCTCATTTTTGTAGCCATATTTATTACAACGTTTCGACCGTTGTACGCTCCGGCCTTCTTCAGGTGGTTGGAATGTCGAACTGAACCCTTTATTTCGCTCGCTGGGGTAGACTGTTCTAGTTCCACGTGCCATGTCTAATGGATGTCAGTTATCAGTTATCTCCCGTTAATTCACCTCTCCAAGTTCTCCACTGCCTAAACACAACTCTTGTCACTGGATCTAACTAACGCCTTTTTCCACTGTACCATGTGTCCTTGAGGACATCTGTCTATGAATTTCTGAGTATTATAAACCTAATGTCTTCAGCAATCATTTTTTTACCAGTGCTCATATTGCAATTTTTGCTGTTATCATTGCATTTTTTTTACCGGGTCTCATATTGCAACTTTCGTTGTTATTATCCCTTTTCTCTGGCGCTCCTTATTAGTGGTCCCCATATTGTATTCATTTCTATGCTTGGTCGGCTCAGGAGATTTTTGTGACCTAGCATATGTGCTGATTCCTTAAGTTTACGAATTTTCCAATGATGTTCTTTGTCTATGATCTCAACTTGATCCAACAGAGGGCGGTGATCTCCTTTTTCTCTCCATTTGTGGTCAGCCACGCCTGATTTTTCCACTTCTCGTGTTACAGTTTTCTGGTGTTCTTGAAGCCTTACCTTGAGGGGGAGGCCTGTCTCCCCTGTATATTTCTTTCCGCAGCTGCACGGAATAGAGGACACACAGTCTTTAGTCATGTTTTCCTCTATGGGGGGGGGTCTTACTTTGGAGAGATATCTGTGAAGTGTCGTCCCACTTTTGAAGGTTGTGCTGATATTATATAGACCGCAGATCCTTTGTATTTTCTCTGATAACCCCTTCACATAAGTCAGGCAGACTGTTTTCTGAGTGTTGTTGTCCCCCTCCTCTTGTACCCGCCTATCCCAGTTATTATTTAACTTGTTTGCCATGGTGATTTCTACATTTGGACATTTTCGGACATCAGTAAATGTGACCGCTTTTTGGGAAAAGCATGGTCTACAGGGCAAATATGCTAACCACTCTTCGATGGCGAGATATATATATGTGAGTGTGTGTGTGTGCGCGCGCGTGTGTGTGTGTGTGTGTGTGCGTGCGTGCGTGTGTGTGTGTGTTCGAATGGAGCTACATGGCCCTTGACAGCAAATATATTCTTAGGGTATAAATATCCACCCGATATATCCGTTGGCAAATCTTCAGTTTCCTTGCCACTGAACAATAGAGTATGATTGGACTTGTGGGAATTTCCATCATGAAAATTTCGATTGCATCCTCTGCAATCGCTTCTTTATTTGTAGCCGATGTAGCCTTGTTTAGAATGGCTCTCTATCTAAAGTTGGCTGTAATTTTTCCTTTTGAATTCCTGCCAAAATTCCTGCCATGTTCTTGCAAATCATATTGGCAATAAATAAATAAATAAATAAATAAATTCTTACTTGTCCCCAGAGCCCATGCTTTACATTTTGTCTGTTTCCCGTCAGGGTATAAAAACTCTTCGATTTATTGCTTCTTCTTCTTCTTCTTCTTCTTCTTCTTCTTCTTCTTCTTCTTCTTCTTCTTCTATTCCTTGTCAATTTCCCTCTTTATCTCCACATCTCATTACTTTTTCTTCTTCATCTTCTTCCTCTTCTTTTTCTTCATTTTCTTCTTCTTCTTCTTCTTCTTATTCTTTCCTTCCTCCTTGTCTTTCTTATATTCCATCCTCCTCATCCTCATTCTTCTTCTTATTCTTCTTCGTTTCCTATTCCTTGTCAATTCTCCTCTACATGTCCACGTCTCATTTCTTCTTCTTCTTCTTCTTCTTCTTCTTCTTCTTCTTCTTCTTCTTCTTCTCCTCCTCCTTTCTATCCTCCTCCTCATTCTTGTTCTTCTTCGCATTCTTCTTCTTTCTTTCTTTCTTTCTTTCTTTATTTCTTTCTTTCTTTCTTTCTTTCTTCTTCTCCGTTCCTTATTCCTTGTCCATCTCTTCACCTCTACGTCCCATTTCTTCTCCTTCTTCTTTCCCTTCTTTTTTCTTCTTTCCCTTATCTTCTTCTTCTTTCCCGCCACCCCCCTCTTTTCTTATTTCCATCCTCCTCATCCTCATTCTTCTTCATCTTCTTCTTCTTCTTCTTCTTCTTTCCCTATTCCTTGTCAGTTTCCCTCTTCATCTCCACATCCCTTTTCTTTTTCTATTTCATCTTCTTCCTCTTCTTTTTCTTCATTTTCTTCTTCTTCTTTCCCTCCTCCTCCTCTTTCTTATTTCCATCCTCCGTATCCTCATTCTTCTTCTTTCTCCCGCCTCCCCCTCCTTCTTTCCATCATCCTCATCCTCATTCTTTTTCTTCTTTGCATTCTTCTTCTTTCTTTTTTTACTCTTCCCTGGTCCCTATTACTTAACTTCTCTCTTCATCTCCATGTCCCATTTCTTTTTCTTCTTTCCTATCTTCTTCTTCTTTCCTTCCTTCTCCTCCCCCTTATTCTTCTTCTCTTTTACTTGTGCTACTTTCCTTTCTTCTTCTCCTTCGTCTTCTTATTTGTATTCTTCTTCTTTCTTTCTTTCCTTTTCTCCGATCCTTATTCCTTGTCCATCTTAATTTCCCTCTTCATCTCTACGTCCCATTTCTTCTCCTTCTTCTTTCCCTTCTTTTTTCTTCTTTTCCCTTATCTTCTTCTTCTTCTTCGTTCCCTATTCTTTGTCAATTTCCCTCTTCATCTCTACGTCCCATTTCTTCTTTCCTTCTTTTTTTCTTCTTACCCTTATCTTCTTCTTCTTCTTCTTCTTCTTCTTCTTCTTCTTCTTCGTTCCCTATTCTTTGTCAATTTCCCTCTTCATCTCTACGTCCCATTTCTTCTCCTTCTTCTTTCCCTTCTTTTTTCTTCTTTTCCCTTATCTTCTTCTTCTTCTTCTTCTTCTTCGTTCCCTTCTCTTTTTACAATTTCCTTCTTCATCTTCTTCTTTTTCTTTCTTTTTTTTTTTCTTCTTACCCTTTCCAAAGTCTTCTTGTTCTTGTTCTTCTTCTTCTTCTTCTTCTTCTTTTTCGTTCCCTATTCTTTGTCAATTTCCCTCTTCATCTCCACGTCCCATTTCTTCTCCTTCTTCTTTCCCTTCTTTTTTTCTTCTTTTTCCTTATTTCTTCTTTTTTTCTTCTTCTTTTCTTCTTCTTCTTCTTCTTCTTCTTCTTCTTCTTCTTCTTCTTCCTTGTCTTTTCAATTTCCCTCTTCATCTCTACGTCCCATTTCTTCTTTCCTTCTTTTTCTTCTTCTTACCCTTCTTCTTCTTCTTCTTCTTCTTCTTCTTCTTCTTCGTTCCTTATTCTTTGTCAATTTCCCTCTTCATCTCTTCTTGTCCCATTTCTTCTTTCCCTTCTTTTTTCTTCTTCTTCTTCCTTATCTTCTTCTTCTTCTTCTTCTTCTTCGTTCCTATTCTTTTCAATTTCCCTCTTCATCTTCTTCTTCATTTCTTCTTTCCTTCTTTTTTTTTCTTCTTCCCTTCTATTCTTCTTCTTCTTCTTCTTCTTCTTCTTCTTCTTCTTCTTCTTTTTTTTTCGTTCCCTTCTCTTTGTCAATTTTCCTCTTCATCTCTTCCACGTCCATTTCTTCTTCTTCTTCTTTTTCTTTTTTTCTTCTTTTTCCTTATCTTCTTTTTTCTTCTTCTTCTTCTTCTTCTTCTTCTTCCCTATTCTTTGTCAATTTCCCTCTTCATCTCTACGTTCCATTTCTTCTTTTCCCTTCTTTTTCTTCTTCTTACCCTTATCTTCTTCTTCTTCTTCTTCTTTCTTCGTTCCCTTTTCTTTGTCAATTTCCTTTCATCTCTACGTCCCATTTCTTCTTTTCCTTCTTTTTTTTCTTCTTCTTCTTATCTTCTTCTTCTTCTTCTTCTTCTTCTTTTCCTATTCTTTGTCAATTTCCCTCTTCATCTCTACGTCCCATTTCTTCTTTTCCTTCTTTTTTTCTTCTTCTTCTTATTCTTCTTCTTCTTCTTCTTCTTCTTCTTCTTCTTCTTCGTTCCCTATTCTTTTTCTTCAATTTCTTCTTCATCTCTACGTCCCATTTCTTCTTTCCCTTCTTTTTTTCTTCTTTATCTTCTTCTTCTTCTTCTTCTTCTTCTTCTTCTTCTTCGTTCCCTATTCTTTGTCAATTTCCCTCTTCATCTCTACGTCCCATTTCTTCTTTCCCTTCTTTTTTTCTTCTTACCCTTATCTTCTTCTTCTTCTTCTTCTTCTTCTTCCCTATTCTTTGTCAATTTCCCTCTTCATCTCTACGTCCCATTTCTTCTCCTTCTTCTTTCCCTTCTTTTTTCTTCTTTTCCCTTATCTTCTTCTTCTTCTTCTTCTTCTTCTTCTTCTTCTTCGTTCTCTATTCTTTGTCAATTTCCCTCTTCATCTCTACGTCCCATTTCTTCTTTCTTCTTTTTTTTTCTTACCCTTCTTCTTCTTCTTCTTCTTCTTCTTCTTCTTCTTCTTCCTTGTCCCTTTGTCAATTTCCTCTTCATCTCTACGTCCCATTTCTTCTTTCCCTTCTTTTTTTCTTCTTCTTACCCTTATCTTCTTCTTCTTCTTCTTCTTCTTCTTCTTCTTCTTCTTCTTCTTCTTCTTCTTCTTTCTTCCCTTCTTCTTTTCAATTTCCCTCTTCATCTCTTCTCTCCCATTTCTTCTTTCCTTCTTCTTTTTTCTTCTTACCTTTTCTTCTTCTTCTTCTTCTTCTTTTCCTATTCTTTGTCAATTTTCTTCTTTCATCTCTTTATCCCATTTCTTCTTCTTCTTCTTCCCTTCTTTTTTCTTCAATTCTTTTCTCTTCTTCTTCTTCTTCTTCTTCTTCTTCTTCTTCTTCTTCTTCTTTGTCAATTTCTTCCTCTTCATCTCTCTATCCCATTTCTTCTTTCCCTTCTTTTTTTCTTCTTACCCTTATCTTCTTCTTCTTCTTCTTCTTCTTCTTCTTCTTCTTCTATTCAAACTGCCAACTTGTGACCATCAACTGCAGTGAATCTAAAGCCAGAGGTCCGGTGAACTGCAGTTCAATGATTGTGCAGCAGTTATTTATGGCGAGAAATTTCGACATCTGCTTATCTTCTATTTTTTTTTTCTTTTGAGTTATCTATTTATTTTTTTATTCACCAAATCTCTCCGGGATTTTTGTCTCCGTCACACATGAGAGTTTTGCAAATGCGTAAGTAGTCGATTCGAATGTGGGCAAGAGTGTGTGTGTGTGTGTGTGTGTGTGTGTGTGTGTGTGTGCGCATGTCTGTGTGAGAAATTAAAGGAATAGAGATTTTTCCTTCGATGGGGAAGAGAGATAGTTTGTGTATGTGTGTGTGTGTATTTGCGCACGTTTGAGTGTAAATAGAACCAAGAGTTCCTTAAAAGGAGGAAGAACAGGCAGGTAAAAATCTATATGGGACAAAATGATTGGGTTGTTTTTTACGGTTTATCAACCCGTTGTAGGTTATTTGAAGCCAGAAAATATTTTTAGATTGCAATAATTTTTTTTTTTTAAATAATAATTGTTTAGAGATACGAATCTTACTAATTAACTCATATCTGGGAGGGAGAAGAGGTGGATTCATACCTTTTCCAAAGTAAGTGAAAATAACAAACCCGACGTGAATTGGACCACGGCTCTGTGATTAACAATTTTGAGCCGAAAAAAAATCATTATCAATTCCACCCCACGTACATACAAACGTACAGCAGCTGACATTCCCAAGCGGTTACTCATCCAGGTACTGACCAGGATCGACGTTGCTTAACTTCTGTGATCGTACTGGAACCGATGTTTCAACGTGATATGGCCGTACGCCTCAGGGGAAAAAAAGATGGACGCACATATGATCATGGTGAACTGAGATAGACAAATATATACAAATATTGATCATATAACTAAATTTTTAATCTCAGGTGGGGTATTGTGGGAACCTATTACGCACATACATACATACATACATACATACATACAGACAAAAACACAAATCATATACAACGCCAAGCATTCATTGGTTAATTAATAACCACTACATTATTATAGACAATTTACAAATCGCAGCAATGCGACAATTTTGTAATCGCTCTATTTTCATGTAGTCAGTTTTGTGCACTTTTGGGAGAAACAGATCACAGAAGCTTTCTTAAGTTTCCTCAAAACTCGCTTGCTGATTGGTCAATGCCAACCAATCAGATCGACTGAAGAGTAACTTTTCCCGCTCAGCAACCTGGAGCCTATAGATACTTATATAAGTAATAATTTTTTTAGCTAATTAGTGAGAATTCAGCTGCCAAACGAATCCACGACAGTTGAAACCATGCGCCAACCTTCTCACTCACACACACCACTCACATGCTGAACATACCTTGTATATACTCACATAATCTTTTCTTACACAGCAATTCTTTCAAGAACTATTATTACAAGAAACTCTCATGAACATTCTTCCAGTGAACTTTGGAATACTAAAATAACAGTTAAAGAGAGACAACTCTTGTTTATTTCAACCTTTTCTTACTTAAATGCATGCTTTCTTGAAAGAAAGTTCACATCGTTGTTTGATATTGTACATCTTGTTAAATACATACTTTACGTGTAACAATGTCTTTTGGCTTCTTCTTTTCTGTGTCAGCCCTGCTTCCTAATCTAAAGTTAAATTAATGTGGTGAAGTCGGCCACAATCAAAAAGAAAGAAAGAAAGACAGAAAGAAAGGGAAAAAGAAGAAAAATGAACGAAAGAAGAAAGTAAGAAAGACAGAGAGAAAAGAAAAAGAAGAAAAATGAAAGAAAGAAAGAAAGAAAGAAAGAAAGAAAGAAAGAAAGAAAGAACAGAACAGAACAGAAGGAAGGTCTGGACAAGAAAGAAAGAAAGAAAGAAAGAAAGAAAGAAAGAAAGAAAGAAAGAAAGAACAGAACAGAACAGAACAGAAGGAAGGTCTGGACAAGAAAGAAAGAAAGAAAGAAAGAAAGAAAGAAAGAAAGAAAGAAAGAACAGAAGGAAGGTCTGGACAAGAAAGAAAGAAAGAAAGAAAGAAAGAAAGAAAGAAAGAAAGAAAGAACAGAAGGAAGGTCTGGACAAGAAAGAAAGAAAGAAAGAAAGAAAGAAAGAAAGAAAGAAAGAAAGAAAGAAAGAACAGAAGGAAGGTCTGGACAAGAAAGAAAGAAAGAAATGAAAAAAAAGAAAGAAAGAAAGAAAGAAGGTCTGGACAAGAAAGAAAGAAAGAAAGAAAGAAAGAAAGAAAGAAAGAAAGAAAGAAAGAACAGAACAGAACAGAACAGAAGGAAGGTCTGGACAAGAAAGAAAGAAAGAAAGAAAGAAAGAAAGAACAGAAAGAAGGTCTGGACAAGAAAGAAAGAAAGAAAGAAAGAAATAGAATCAAACAAAAATTAGGAAAGAAAATATAAGGACAAGAGCAAGAAAAAAAAATGGCGGTCATTTTTTCAATTGAAAAAAGTGTGTCTAAAAAATAAAAAATAAAAAAATATCAAAATTGAGGAAGGGAAAAAAAGAAAGGAAGAAAGTATAAAAAAAGTGAACAAAAAATTAGAACAAAAAATACTTTTTTATAAAAGTAAAAAGAAAAGAAGAAATAAAGACATTCGAGAATGAAATAAAAAAACGTATGTCAAAAGAACGAACAAAAATACGGAAAGAAACGAAATAAAACAAGAAAAAAAAGGTAAGAAAAAGAATGAAAGAAAAAAAAAAGATAAAAATATCGGTAGAACGATAATGAAAGAAAAAAAAAAAAAATAATAACTAAACAAAGTAAGGCAGCCCCGAGAGTGTGTTTGGGTGTCATTCTGAGAACAGTGCAGAGAATTCGGAAAGAGTTGGATGAGTCTAATGGTGATTACGAAGGTACGGCAGCTCAGAAAACTCACTCCGATCATTCTGATAAGAAGAAGCACTCGAATTTGTTGGTGAGGGCCTCAGATTCAACACGGAGGCCTACATCAAGTGCCTTGAAGAGGCAGTGCTTCCCTGGGTCAAGAGGGTGGCTACCACAAGATTCTATGTCTGGTAACAGCAATCTGCACTATGTCCCACAAGCAGGAGAACCCAGTCATGACGGTCAGACAATTTCTACAACCAGATCCCCCATAACAATTGGCCACCTGAATCGATAGACTGCAACTCCCTTGATTATTATGGGTGGGGTGCAGTTGAGCAAGAGACCAACACAACTTCTTGTAACACCACAGATGGAATTGGGTAGACGTAATTTTTGAGGAGCCGTCGGTCGTTGTGCTAGAATGGTTTGACTCTACTGGTGTTGGTCAAACTGCTGACCAAGACAGATTATGTGCTCTCTTACAGAAAATATGACTCCAGTCCGCTTAGTATCGTTGCAGTATACGCCACACTTTGGCCCTGTGGAGGCTGAAGAAACACAAACGTGCCCGAACAGGTGTCTGCGAAACACACACACACACGCACACACACACACACACACACACACATATGTTTATGGTCGTGTGAGCTCCGATGGGCGAGCGCGTGTGTATGTGTGTCTGCGTACCTCAATGGGTGTAAGGGCGTGCATTTATGTTTGCGTAAATATGAGTGGCGTCACGACGACAATTTTTCCTCCCACTTCCATAAAAACACCAATACACGCAAACCTACATAAATCCAAAATTTTAAAAAATTAATCAGTTTGTCTGACGATCGTGAAAGCCAGGGTCACAAACTCACATCAATCCAACTAAATATATATATATATATATATATATATATATATATATATATATATATATATCATCCTGTAGGCAGACTGACTGTTTCGCTGTATCAAAGCTCCGCAGTGTGGTGAGACGTCCGATTGCTTCAAGCTAGGATTGAAACCCGATTGATTTGACATCAGTCAGGTCTCTTACCTTCAGACCCAGGGAGGGAATTTTAACGCTTTTCTCTATACGAAATACGCCATCATTTTCTGTTTATACGTTAGTTTTATAGATACAACTATTTAAGCAAATAAGTTCATAAATAGTATTAACTATATTTACCGGCCTGAATGTCCGAGAAATTTCATAAAAAAAATATGTCTTCCAACAGGAATCGAACCTGTATTCTACATGGAATATAGCCTAACGTGCTATACCATTTAGCTACAACGGAGGCTTCTGGTTAACAAGGTCAAATTACTGTTTTTAAACCACAAATTTCCCATGATTTCTCTCGAAACCTCATATCTGCTCGCAGCGTAACTTAATGTAAACAAATGACATCTGACAATTATTTTAATATATTTTCTCATATGTTATTTTTACAGATACACACGCACACACACACATACACACACACATACACACACACATACACACATATATATATATATATATATGATAACATAGTTTTAAGGTATGCTATATTTGTGGGTTAGAGTAGTCAATATCAGAGATAGATCGTATGTAAATGTAAATATAAATATAAATGTAGACATTGAAGTCTACACCCATATACGAAAGACATGCTCAACGAAATAATCGAAATAGAAAGAGACATCATGGTTGTTGGTGAGAACCCAAGGGTCACGGTTCTCGGCTAGGTTTGACCATTGGCAATGGTTGATGTGACAGACACCTAAAAGATTAAAATTGCATATATATATATATATATATATAAATATATATATATATATATATATATATATATATATATATATATATATATATATATATAGAGAGAGAGAGAGAGAGATAATATTAGTGGTAAATATACACATACATATGCGAAATATATAAATATATATACATACATGCATACACACACATATATATTTTTTGTATAAAAAAAATTCCAAGAGGATAGAATCCAGGTAGAGCTCAATGTCCAGGACAGAGTAAGGATATAATAAAAAGGCTTAACCACTAATATTCCATGGTCATAATTTATTCCATTGGAATCGTAAATACGATCCAATTCATCAGACCTACAAATTCAAAAAGAAAAGAGAAAAAAACAACCCCGGAAATAAAAGAGAGTGTAAGTATGAGAGCGTGGGACGAATGTTAGTGTTAAAGAGAGGGGTAACAGACGACAGAAGGTGGGAGATCAAGACTTTAAAGTTTTAGAGAGGGGAGTCAAAGACGGTTTAAGTGAGAGAAATATGAATGTTCTCGGATGTCTAATACATTAAAGATGTAACCGGAAAGATACATTTTGTGGTGACATACACACACAATAGACGATCTTTTTATTATATATATATATATATATATATATATATATATATATATATAATTTAAAAAATATGATTCCTTCATACATAAGAGTTCTCATATTTTTAAAAACAAGAGCTGTAAACCTCAATATAATTATTAAAATTAAATTGAATTAAAGTTTCAGGCCCTGTTTCATCCTCAAGCGAAAATTTGGGATCCTATTTAGATTCCTAAAGCTGATTGATGTTACCTTCAGCAATTCCGACTCTAGAGTTTCGTAGACGGACTGCTTATTGTGCCAAATTATATATGACAGAGACAGTGTGTGTGTGTGTGTGTGTGTGTGTGTGTGTGTGTGTGTGTGTGTGTGTGTGTGTGGACACTCTATATTAATTAAACTTTCACGCTCTAGTGCAAATGCCACTTTTCCTTTATTAGGCTGTGCATGTAGTGTGTCGCGTATGTAGGTCACTAGGTGGGGGGTTGCGTACGTGGCACGTGGAAGTATAACAGTCTACCTCAGTGAGCGAAATAAAGGGTTCAGTTCGGCATTCCAACCACCTGAAGAAGGCCGGAGCGTAAGAATGTCTAATGGATGTCTGGTTCTCCATCGCCTTAAGAAGTTACTGAACTCACACTCTTTG